ACCACGACCATGATTATAACAACCACGACCATCATTATAACACTCACGACCATGATTATAACAACCACGACCATGACTATAACAACCACGACTATGATTATAACAATCACGACCATGATTATAACAACCACGAATATGAATATAACAACAACGACCATGATTATAACAACAGCGACACTGATTATAACAACGATTACCATGATTGTAACAACCACGACCATGATTAAAACAACCACAACCAGGATTGTAACAACCACGCCTATGATTATAACAACCACGACCATTATTATAACAACCACAACCATGATTATAACAACCACGACTATGATTATAACAACCACGATCATGAATATAACAACCACGACCATGATTATAACAACCACGACCATGATTATAACAACCACGACCATGATTATAACACCCACGACTATGATAATAAAAACCACGACCATGAGTATAACAACCACGACCATGATTATAACAACCACGATCATGATTATATCAACCACGACCATGATTATAACAACCATGACCATAGTTATAACAACCACGACCATGATTATAACAACCACGACTATGATAATAACAACCACGACCATGATTATAACAAACAGACCATGATTATAACAACCACGACCATGATTATAACACTCACGACCATGATTATAACAACCACGACTATGATTATAACAACCACGACTATGATCATAACAACCACGACCATGATTATAACAACAAAGACCAATGATTATAACAACCACGACCATGATTATAACAACCACGACCATGATTATAACACTAACGACCATGATTATAACAACCACGACTATGATTATAACAACCACGACTATGATCATAACAACCACGACCATGATTATAACAACAAAGACCATGATTATAAACAACCACGACCATGACTATAACAACCAGGAATATGATTATAACAACCAGGACTATGATTATAACACTCACGACCATGATTATAACAACCACGACTATGATATAAACAACCACGACTATGATTATAACCACGACTAATATTATAACAACCACGACCATGATTATAACAACCACGACCATAATTATAACAACCACGACCATCTGGAAAACGATGTCGCTGCACGCTGTCAGCCGGACGGCGGTTGCGCGCTAGGCAAGCACGAGCGATCGAACTTTCACGCCTCGGTAAACTGTACCACCGGACTCGCCACCGGGCACGAAGGGCCTAAGATCACTTGTTGCAACTATATCATGCGCTAGTCAGGCCGCACCTCGATTATGCGGTTCAGTTCTGGTGCCCTTATTATATAAAGGATATCAATTCACTGGAGTCGGTGCAGCGAAGAATGACGAAAATGATTCCGGGACTCAGAAACCTTACATATCAAGATAGGTTAAAGAAACTAAACTTACATTCCCTAGAAAGACGAAGAGTGCGGGGAGATATGATAGAAGTACTTAAGTGGTGAAAGGAATCAATAAAGGGATATAGATAAAGTTCGTATAATATCCGAGCAGGATAGGACTCGAGCAACGGATTTAAGTTGGATAAGTTTAGGTTTAGGAGGGAGATATGAAGGAACTGGTTCTACAAATAGGTGGTAGTGAGGTCGCTTAGCAACTTTGTAGTAAGTCCTGGAACGCTGGAAAGTTTTAAAAGGAGGCTAGATAGATTCATGGATGATAGAGAGTGGTCGTAACTCTCGACAGGAGCTGCGCAGGTCAACCGGCCTATTGCAGACTCCTTATTTTTTTATGTTCTTATAATGATGTCATCCACTAATCCCCACACCAACACCAACACACACGTAGAGGAGCTTAAGAGAAAGGGGGCGACGTGACTAGTCAGGTCAGGTCAGGTCAAAAATAAGGGACCCACTTAATAAATATCCCACATCTAGCTCCAAGGTTTTCAAAGCATTTTTAACCTTGGGCCACTGACAAATAAATTTATGTAACATTTTATCAGTTTTGTACATGGAATACAATAAACACTTCCATTTACATTCAAAGTTAGGCTATTTTTTATTAACATATTGGTAATGGTTGAGTGATACTTGAAAACAACATTAATATTTAGTAATTTAAGAGACCGAACTAACGGGACAAATAAACCTTAGTGATGGTCTAGCGCAAGATATAGTTGCAATAAGACCTCTGCACTCTTATTACTTACACTTCTAGATATAAAACCTAATACTCTGTTTGCCTTATTTCGAACATTAACGCACTGTTCTCTAGGCCGTAGGTCCGGGCTTACAATATGAGAATGTTGTCACTGTGATGAAAAACCCACAGAAGGCAGAGGGAGATATTAATGTTGGCTTGAAAAGAGATAAAGTGGAGGCAAGAAAGTGACTCGGGTACACATTCTGTTCAATGTTTTCTCTTAGTATTGCGTTGGTGACATCGTTTCTGCCTCTCTGGTTCATCCTGTGTATTACTTTAAGAAATCAAAGAGTATGAGCCGACTGGACTAGTATTTTTTCGATTCATATAACCAACAACCGAACAAATTTCTGCCAATCTGTCATTACACTAAACTTTAAGAGAGATTAAAGTATTTGTTCATATGACAGGGACCGGTGTACCCTGAAGAGTACAGTATGTATGATCTGCGGTGTGTGCGCAGTCTGAGCTTCCTGTCACCCATGTGTACTTACCGTGACACCCCCGGCAGTACTCCTACCACCTCCGCCCATAACCACAAAGTCCTATGGTTCAGTTCAGCTACCACAAAACCTCTCGCAGACACTCGTACCGATTGTTCTGGGCATCTATAGCGATACATAACCCCATCTCCTCTCACCAGTAAAAAGGAGATACTGTATACACTACAGTACAGCACCTGGATGGAGTGAGCTATTCCCTGTTCTGCCTTCCACCACGACTTTATACGCTGTATGCACGGTCAATCACACTTCGGTAAGCACGGGACGCACAATCCAATCTATTCAGTATTTGTTAACTATATGGTTACCATTGCTACTTTTTACTGTACTTGCCTATTAACACGGCCAAGGTGTGGAAGGAGAGCCAAATTCGATCCATTGTGTCCAGCAGCACGCCGCAACGCAGACTGGAAGGACACTTCAACCTTCATGGTCGGTGCAGGTACTCAGCTTGCTAGTTGCCGACGCATTGTATTTCTTATTTTCGTTAATCAGTAAAGCTGTTTATCCTGATGAAATTCGAAGTCATTGGGGACTGTATAGGTCCGTCACCTATTTCTAAAAGCAGATATAAATTTACATCACCTACGAAATAAATCAGGTCTGTGATATCTCTGAAAATTATGCTTATGAGTATTTGCAAACTGATACCATGTTTACTCGTGCTCCGTAACATACAAACTGGGGATGTTGCACGAGTTCCCCTAGCACAAATTATACAATACTACGTGTTTCCTTTCATGAAACTTATTAATGAACAATAAATGAAAACCTTGAGAATATAACCTATAAATGTTTCTTCCACATTTCCTCAGAAAACTCGCACTTCTCCGTACGCCTAACACTAGGACAATTTTGACGTGGACGCGAGGAAGATATTTCCCTTTCATTCTCTACTCAGATATGTTGCACTGCTTTTAGCTGTTTGAACTTTGTCTTTAAGATGGTATATACCCAGACTTGGATCAAACATTTCAGTCCAGGGAATTATTATGTGTGTGGAACTGAATCTTTGAAGGTTAGTGCTAATTACAGTACACATCTTATCCCCTAAGTGCTTTAGGGGAATAGTGTTTAAACCTTCAAGATAATTAAGGATTTTCTGATATCATTCGGTACATTTTCCTTACAATAGACAACACTTTTAACATTGTGGCAAGAAGCAAGTGCACATATGCAATTCAAAGTCTAATATTGTTGAAGAAAGTATTATATTTTCTTTATGTAAAACATAAATGAACGTCCACCACTCTGCCAAGTAATATGTTGTTAATTATGTAATAAATACTCATGTGAGATGACTGTAAAAGGAAGTGCTTGACTCACTGTTCTCATGTTCACGCCAGGATGCCTCATCTTGTGTTTAACCTCAACATACAATATACCATTATCATCCTCAACAATAGACCAGACCGTGGGGGAGGTAAGTACCTGACCAAAGAAATTGGGATAAGTATTTTAAACTAGCTACACATCTGAGTGCTGGGAAACGCGGTTCAGGTAAGCGGAGATCTTCCGGGGTGTTTAGCGACGGAGGCCATTGTTCAATAGGGTGTCATGTAAAATTCTTTGCTTACATGTGCGGTGATTTACATATGAGAAACTCGGTGTTCGGGCAAAGGCTTAATAATGCCTAAAAATTACCCCAAAACTGCTGACATTAGCAACAACGTTATTTTAACCTGCTTTCGTCGGTACAGTATAAGTTAGCCTCGCTAACCTACCAATGAAAAAGTCATAACATTAGTTGCAACGGTTAATATCTATAAGATTAATATCGAAAGTGCAATTTCTAGGCTTTTGTGTACGCTCTATTTCTCCAAGAATCAAACTTATCATAAACAGACCGCAAAACATAGTAGTTGTCCACAAGATAAATTGTTCAATATATGCACTTAAGTTTTTTTTAGAAACCTCCACCACATTTAAATGACTCCACAGGTACAGTGAAGGCCATTAACCCCAACTCACGCTAATAATTATGGCTTACAACTATATTACAAGGTATCTATTAAATTCACATTTTCAAAAAGTATGACCTTGTAGGACTTTGTTCCTTAGATAGGAGCTTTGTATGACCTAAATTGTATGAAATTTGGTCTCAAGTGCAAATTTGGTTCATATTTTAGAAATTTTTAACGACTTACCAATCGTTTCAAAATTAAAAAAAATAAGTTTTACTTTTTTGCCCCCTACCCAATTTAAAGTCCGGATAAACGCAAAACTTCGTTATGCATTATTGGCAACTGATACTAACCCTTCTTCTTCTTCTTCTTCTTATTATTATTATTATTACTTTTATTATTATTATTATTATTATTATTATTATTATTATTATTATTATTATTATTATTAATTACGTGATCAAGAAACCCCTGGGAAGGTAAGTAATGTACTAACAATCATCACAGTGACCTCCAGAAGCACCATGAAAACGGCAACATTTCAAATTACTTAGATAATAAATTACTTACTAGTCAAAGAAACAATTAGGCCCAATAAAGGTGCGAACTGGGATGAGGACTGGCCTTTTTCTTTGTAATGGTGTGATTTTTTTATAATGTTTGTTATAAATTACTAATTATTACTAATTAATAACCCCCTCGGCAGCTACTTAGATAGAGTATCTCACTGCAGTACTTCCATAGACGGTAATACCATATTATCTATTAAAGCACTATTTAGAGAAATAATCACTGCACTCATAAAATCTACGAATCAATTTCTTAATCGAACACTTTAATAGAATGCATAGATATTCGTCTAAAAAGTATGATTTCTATTAAAAAAATATGACCTCTATTATAAAAATATGACTGTAGGACTTTTGTAGGACCCCTAAAAAGTATGATTTTATATGACTGTAGGACCTAGTATGCATCCTGTGTTATCCGCCCTGCAGTACATAACCCTATTATTTATTTTAAAAGGCTCCTCACCCAGTTATTTTAAAAGGCTCCTCACCCAGTTATTTTAAAAGGTTCCTCACCCAGTTATTTTAAAAGGTTCCATGCGTAGTTAATTGTAAGCTAATATTATTAAACTGTCTTATTGACTACCTCTATAACCAGTATGTCTCTAATTATTACTTAATATTTCAAACTTAAAACAAATAACGTTTACGATCCAAACGAAACACTTCATTCACTTTTTTTCTTTAGATTAAATGTGTTATAAGTTCAAATGCCTTCTATTGAGTACTGGTAACGTTATCCTATTCTGATGAAAGTAAACCCCATGTTATAAGGACGGGTTTGTGGAGTCCATCGGTATGTGTTTGTAACAGAACTTAATACATAAAGCTACAACTAGCTGGTCTCTGGTCATTGTGGAGATCTACTGGTCCCTCTTGGAGTCCTGATATAATAAACATGCTCACTGGTCATTCTGGAATTTAATTGGGATTATCTAAACAACAACATTTGTAAGACATGGTCGTATCATAATCAATTTTCCTCTATTATGGTCAGAAATTAAGGATCTTTCCACAACACGGCAGACACTAAGAAAACGTACCTAGTAAGGATATTTCCGTCCCATTCTCTGCTATGGATCATATAGATAGGTTACAAGGTAGGTTTGCTCCCCGGGCAGGGTGAAACTATGGGTAAGTTTCTTTAGGCCATTTGCCTCTGTATACCCAGCAATAATTGGGGACCTGGATGTTAATCGATTTTCGGATCGTGTTCCGGGGTAATGGTTAGCCACTGGAGTTTTCCGGTCTTCTCGGACTATTCCTTGACACTGGGTCATACAACTCGTTAACTCAGGGTATGGTTGTTGTGTTGGCGACAGCTTTTACACCTTAAACAAATTCACGCCTAGGTGGCCCTAGGGCCAGCCATCCTCGTTACACGAGGGGCAACCATAAATCGCGACCCTCAGGTTCTGGTGGATAGCGAAATGAGCAAGTACAGTACGTGCAGATGCATCTGTTGGGTTGATGCCTCTGACTATATACAGTCGGTCTAGTAGCCTTTATTGTGCAATGTTCTGTGATTTATACCGGAATAATACTTACCCTACGGTCAATGCTCTGTAGTGCCCTACTTTAATGGTGAACGATTAGAGAAGTATTTGTGGTATACAGTAGGAAAGGATTGTTTAAGACCTGAACAAAGGAGTTGCCGCTTCCCAAATAATATGATTTTAGGAGAAACCAACATGTAGCAAATGAGCTGACTGAAATAATCAGATAATATTTGGGATTTATCCTCTACCCTTTGGTCGCGTCAATTTAACTCATAACCTTATTCTTACTGATATCCCTGGTATTCTCCTTTAGTTAGAGGATCTAAAAGCACCACTGATGGTCTCGGTTCATACGATTCAACTATCTTATTACGCAATCGAAACCGAAGTGGTATGTATGCAGCCAGTTCATTCTCCAACAATCACCCAAACAAAGCGAGAGGCAAACGCAGAAATAAAACGTGAGGTGTCATCATCACTCTCCACAATAATGGTATAAACACTATATTACTCATATCTCTAACATAAATAAGTGTCTGGTAAGGAGAGCAGGCACACCAACACGCAATCACACCCGGGTTATATATCAAAACACTTCATCTTTTGTTCCAGAATGTAAAGTACGGCAACTCAAGGGTCGCGAAATGTTTATGTTGGGTAGAGAGGCAGGCAGGCAGGCAGGCAGGCAGGCAGTGTGTGCATGTGTGTGTGTGTGCGAGTGTACATACATACATACATACAAGCTAACCCGAGAAAAAAAAATTTTGGTTCCAAAAATGGCTGGGAAATGGGAACAAATAAGACACCTCAAAGCAGTTGCAGCGACAAACATCATCTGACAGTATACAAAGAGATAAACCGAAGACAATCAGTTCAATATTAGAGATTTAAGATTCTCCTGCAACAGAAAAAACCTTTAGAGCGATAATACAGTTTGAAAATTGTTACGGAAGGTTAGAGAAAAATATAGAGCATCTTGCGGGAAACTTTCGGGATTAAGTCAAAAAGATTTAATAAATATTCAAAATACTCCCCCCCCCCATCCACAAAAAAGTATTTCACATTGAAAATAATATCTGGAAATAGCGCATCATATACTTAAGTGTGTGTGGAGGTACCTTAAGGAAGTGAGGTCAAGGAGCCTAATAATAGTGTTGTTGTGGTGTAAGACTTACACTGTAAGTGATGGCGGTCATTCACCCTCCAGCCTCTTACATGTTATTCATCAGCCAACACTAATTATTTTACCTTCTTTTGGGGGGGGCAACATAACGCTGATGTAAGTTATATTAAGTTTTGGGGTGAGAGAGAGATAATAAAAACCAACAACCAATGTGATAGTTTGTGGTGCTGGGTTTTCGTTTAATGTTTGTTAACAAATGTTGAAGTAGTCAGTAATTAGCTTATGTACAAAAGGTATTTAGATCTGAGTATTGTTTGGGATACAGCACTAGGCCCCTGTTCTTGAGTCACTGGTTCGCAGCCAGGGTACCTCCAGCGAAAAAGACTGTATAAGAGTGCCAAATTTTTTACTTTGGGATGTGAAGGTTGGATGGATATAGGAGTGATAGGGATTGGGTGTAAATGAGACTGTTCAGTGTGGGCCAATAGGCCCATCTATGAGGTAGTAGATAATGACGAAAATTACGATGTTATTTACTTAGACTTTAGCGAAGCATTTGACAGAGTACCGCAATCGAGGCTTCTGAGAAAAGTTAAGGCTCGTGGTACCGAGGGGAAAGTTTAAATTGGATAAAATCATGGCTCAATGATAGAACACAGAGGGTCAGCGTAGATGGTATTAAATTTGAGTGGGGCTGTGTAACCTGTGGGGTTCCCCATGGGTCAGTACTGGGCCCACTCGTGTTCATAATCTACATAAACGATCTAGATACTGGGATCAGCAGAGACATGAGCAAGTTTGCGGATGACACCAAAATAGGGCGGCAGATTAATTCAGGGCAGGATGCAAATGCACGACAGGAGGATTTAAATAAACTGCAGGAATGGTCAGAAAAATGGCAAATGGAATTCAACACCAGCAAGTGCAGCGTACTTAATATTGGAAGAACAAATACTGTCAATGTGAAACAGCCCTACGGGTACTCGTAAGCCCAAGCCTTCGGCCTAGAAAACAGTGCGTTAATGTTCGAAATAAGGCAAACAGAGTATTAGGTTTTATATCGAAAAATGTAAGTGATAAAAGTGGGGAGGTCATACCGCAATTATATCTTGCGCTAGTCAGGCCGCACCTCGACTATGCCGTTCAGGTTTGGTGCCCTTATTATAGAATGGATATCAATTCGCCGGAGTCGGTGCAGCGAAGAATGACGAAAATGATTCCGGGACTTAGAAACCTTCTCTATCAAGATAGATTAAAGAAACTAAATTTGCATTCCCTAGAAAGACGAAGAGTGCGGGGAGATATGATAGAAGTATTCAAGTGGGTTAAAGGAATCAATAAAGGAGATATAGAGAAAGTTCTGATAATATCCGAGCAGGATAGGACTCGTAGCACCGGATTTAAGTTGGATATGTTTAGGTTTAGGAGGGAGATAGGAAGGAATTGGTTCACAAATAGGGTGGTGGACGAGTGGAACAATCTTAGCAACTTTGTAGTAAGTGCTGGGACGTTGGAAAGTATTAAAAGGAGGCTTGATAGATTTCTTGGACGATAGAGGGTGCTTGTAACTCCCGACAGGAGCTGTTGTGCACAGGCCAACCGGCCTATTGCAGACTCCTTATTTTTCTTACGTTCTTAAGTTCTTATGTTCCTCCATTCTTATGTTCTTATGTTCTTATGAGGGCAGTGCCTGCCACACCGTCTCCTTGTGTACCGAAGGCCCACTTTCACACTTTTGTTTCATCAAAATGAAAAACAGTGAACTTGGTAGAAAAAATTCAGACAATCACAAATTCCTGGAGTTTTAACATGACGTAACCGACATCCAAGCAATGTAGTGTAAGTGAAACGCTTTTTGCTATTACCCACCACTACTACCAGCCTTACATAACTTATCCTCAGCATTTTACGTTCTCTTAAAAAACGCATAGGTATGCTATATATATATAATATGGGGTTTTGGCCTAGAGGAAGACAGAACTAAGGCAGAGTTGGAAAGCGGAGTAAACAGATTATGGGTCAAGTTGCAACATAAACGGATGTTCTTTTGTAACTATAATTAGTTTCCAGGAAGGGATGTCCCGCAGACGAAAATGAAGTTTATGTTATCGTGGTGTGACCTGAATGTCTCGTGTGAACACTGATGTTCTATTTTTTGCAACATACAATTACTTCATTACAATTAATAAGCAACTACTTATGTGTCCCAGAATCAACACCATAATAGAACATTACGTTAAGTACACCCAACAATATATACATATATATGTATATATATATATATATATATATATATATATATATATATATATATATATATATATATATATATATATATGTCTTGGAATAAAAGACAAAAGCCAAGTTGCTCCGTTGTTTCTTTTCCCGTGTGTGATTTTATCAAGATTTTATCTTATCCACGTTTTCATTGTGGATCTACATGATATATATATATATATATATATATATATATATATATATATATATATATATATATATATTATTTTTTTTTTAAAGATACATCATGATATATGCATGAATATATTAGTTATGCATGTATTAGTTTACAGTAATTAAACACCACTGTAATCGGATGACTCGTCGATAAACAAGGAAAACTTTCAAAGATGAGTGGTGCTGGAGGAAGCCATGGTGCAACGCCTCATGTTTGAGTCAGTGAGTGGTAAACCGTGGTGCGGGTCACAGCAGCCCTGTCACACGTCATAATATTAGCTTATACTTTTTTCGTCATCTCATTGTGGTTATATGTTTTACAGCATTGTGTCAATGCCGATATAAGAGAAGTTTTAGATTTTATGTTCAACATTATTTGATCTTCAGTGTGGGTGAAGTATCGACTTGGTGTTTGTGTAAGTCACATCCATCGTGATATAGCTATTGTGGACACGGATCACTAACTTCTACACCACGCCAACCAATAACTTCACTGGTAAGTACACTACGAACCGATATAAATACATGTTTTCCTAAAACGTGTGACTATATATATATATATATATATATATATATATATATATATATATATATATATATATATATATATATATATATATATACAGAGTATATAGGTGTGACCAACATATTCAGATCCGGTACCGGAATACGAAAATCAAGGTCAATATTAAACATACGGAGCTTGGGTGAGGTAAGCTTGGTGACCTTTTAAGTGGACCTGACCAGAAACCAACCGTAGGTCACGTAAGTTGGTATTATTGACCAATCAGATCAGTGATCAAGTTATAACCTGAATGACAAGTATGTCCTGCCGAGCCTTGGTCTTACACACATAAGAACATAAAAACATAAGAATGAAGGAACTGCAGCGGGCCTATTGGGCCATACTGGGCAGTCCCGTTTACACCCAACCCCTATTGCTCATATGAGCATCCAACCTATGTTTGAAGCAATTCAGCGTATTCGAGTTAATGATGATATTTGGTACCTTGTTCCATTCATCCACTACTCTGTTTCTAAACCAGTGTTTACCTATTTCACGCCTAAATCTAAATTTGTCTAATTTAAAACCATTGTTACGAGTTCGCTCCTGGTTGGATAGTTTGAGTACCTTTGTAATGTCCCCTTTGTTTAGCCCTGCCTTCCACTTATACACCTCTATCAGGTCGCCCCTCGTTCTACGTCTCTCAAGGGAGTGCAAATTAAGATGCTTTAACCTGTCTCTATACTCAAGGTTCCTAATGCCCGGGATTAGTCTTGTCATTCCCTCCTCGGAATTCTTTCCAAGGATTCTATATAATTCTGTAATATGGTGACCAGAACTGAACTGCGTAATCCAGGTGTGGTCTCACAAGAGCAAGATACAGTTTTAGGATGACCTCGCTAGTCTTGTAACTAACACTCCTTTGTATGAACCCAAGTACTTTATTAGCCTTGTTACGAGCAAAAACACATTGTTTACTTGGCTTAAGGTTCCTACTTATCATTACTCCTAAATCTCTCTCGCAGTCGGATTTCTCTATGGCATCGTTGTTCATCTGGTGTCTGATTTCCCTGTTTACATCTCCTATACTGAGTACTTTACGTTTGTCGACGTTGAATTTCATCTGCCATTTTTCAGACCATTCGAAAAATTTGCTTAGATCTTCCTGTAGTTTTGCCGAGTCCTCGTCAGATTTGATAACACGTCCTATTTTAGTGTCAAATAACACGTCCTATTTTAGTGTCTGATAACACGTGGTTCTTCAGCTGACAGATGTAGGATATAGATCAATATTGGTACAGCATGTACGCAGACATACAACGTAAATGTACAGTGTACACATATTATGCAGATAAACAATTTCCAAAGTACAGGGTACCTACAGTAGACACTGCGGGTATACAAACTGTGCTAAACAGCAAAGTAATTCAACCAAGGATAACCGAAATATTACAACATTTCCTACAACAAGGTACAGTACATTGCAAGGTTTCTTCACCAACAGTATATAGATATATAATATTTGCTTGTAAATAACAACTGCGGATACGAGCGTACCGGGAGCCCGGTATGATGTGGTGACCATTCAGGCTGGTGAGTCAGTGTAGGGACGGGCACGGGCTGGGCATATTATTACACCATCTACTAATTACTAGGAACAGTCACCTTATTCGTTCCCCGTAGCAATGGTTTTAAATTAGACAAATTTAGATTTAGGCACGAGATAGGTAAACATTGGTTTGGAAATAGAGTAGTGGAAGAGTGGAACAAATTACCAAACATCATCATTAACTTGAATACGATGGATAGCTTCAAACATAGGTTGGATGGTTATATGAGCAATAGGGGTTGGGTGTAAATGGGACTGCCCAGTATGGGCCAATAGGTCAACTGCAGTTTCCTCCATTCTTATGTTCTTATGTTTGAAGCTATCCAGCGTATTCGAGTTAATATTGATGTTTGGTATCGCCCCTCACTCTACGCCTCTCGAGGGAGTGCAGTTTAAGATGCTTTAACCTGTCTCTGTACTCAAGGTTCCTAATGCTCGGGATTAGTCTTGTCATTCTCCTCTGAATTCCTTCTAAGGATATGAGCAATAGGGGTTGGGTGTAAACAGGACTGCCCAGTATGGGCCAATAGGCCAGCTGCAGTTTCCTCCATTTTTAAGTTCTTGTTATGTTAAGTGTTGAGATCATTTGATATAACTTGGCGGTAATATTAAGCTTTCTCTATTTACAGTAAATTGCATTGAATATTACTCGAGACGCGTCATTTACTGATGATAACTTGGTTATCGGAATTTAACAACTGACCGTTAATTCATCCTGACAATAAACGAGACCGGAGAGCTTCCACCACACTGCTATCATAGTCCCAGCCAGGTGTGACAATACTATCTCGGGAAGCCCGTGTACAGTGCACCTCATTAACGCAACGACGTGAGAGACTAAGAGTATCGTGGAGACGTGGTGGAATAATGAATTCAGCCACATATTCTGGTTCAAGCTTCAAACTTTTCCGATAATAATCTTTCCTTCTCCCATACCCTTCAACGTACTACCTTTAAAATATAAGTTATCTTCTTGAATAATACATTTTAACAGCCATTAACTTGTCATTTGTCTCTCAACATCAAATTTAGCAAATACTAAAAGTCATTATAATACAGACATAAGAGTTCACCCTGCCTTAGGTTGTCCCGTGTCTCGCTGGCTAAAAATCATTACTTTGTTAAGGTGAGTTGACCAGACTGGCTGGCACCCCCCACCCCCCCAACTCTTTGTTAAGGTGAGTTAACCAGAGTGGTCGCCCCTCCCCCCCACACACACACACGTACGCACACACAAGCACGAACAGAGTGCAGAGAGCAGAGAGAAAGGTAAGTCACATAAGAACATAAGAATATAATAGCCAGGAGTTTGCATTGTTTATGGCAGCTCCTGTCGAGAATTACTACCACTCATCATCCATGAATCTATCTAGCCTCCTTTTGAAACTTTCCAGAGTTCCCGCACTTACTACAAAGTTGCTAAGCTTGTTCCACTCGTCCACCACCCTATTTGTAACCAGTTTCTTCCTATCTCCCTCCTAAACCTAAACTTATCCAACTTGAATCCGTTGCTCCGAGTCCTATCCTGCTCGGTATTATAAGAACTTTATCTATATCACCTTTGTTGATTCCTTTCACCTTGAATACTCTTATCATATCCTCGCACTTTCGTTAGAATGTTTTTAATTTGGTCTCGATATGGAAGGTTTTAAGTCTTTTTTGTCATTCTTCGCTGACCGACTCTATTGAATTGATATCCATTCTATAATGGGGACACCAGAACTGAATCATAATCGAGGTGCGGCCTGACTAGCGCAAGATATAGTTGCAATAAGACCTCTGCACTCTTATTACTTACACTTCTAGATATAAAACCCAATACTCTGTTTGCCTTATTTCGAACATTAACGCACTGTTTTCTAGGCCGTAGGTCCGGGCTTACAAGTACCCCTAGGTCTCTTTCACAAGTCGACTTCTCTAGGTTGATGTTAGTAATAAGAGTGCAGAGGTCTTATTGCAACTACTGTATATCTTGCGATTGTCAGGCCGCACCTCGATTATGCGGTTCAGTTCTGGTCCCCTTATTATAGAATGAATATCAATTCACTAGAGTCGGTGCAGCTAAGAATGGCGAAAATGATTCCGGGACTTAGAGACTTTCCATATCAAGATAGGTTAAAGAAACTAAACTTGCATTCCCAAGAAAGACGAAGAATGCGGGGAGATATAATAGAAGTATTTAAGTGGGTGAAAGGAATCAATAAAGGCGATTTAGATAAAGTTCTTATTATATCCGAGCAGGATAGGACTCGTAGCAACGAATTTAAGTTGGATAAGTTTTGGTTTAGGAGGGAGATAGGAAGGAACTGATTCACAAATAGGGTGGTAGGCGAGTGGAACAAGCTTAGCAACTTTGTAGTAAGTGCTGGAACGCTGGAAAGTTTTAAAATGAAGCTAGATAGATTCATGGATGATTGAGTGGTAGTAACTCTCGACAGGAGCTGCCATGCACAAGCCAACCGGCCTATTGCAGACTCCTTATTTTTCTTATGTTCTTATGTTCTTATACCACAAATCAAGCATCACTCGGTACACTGTCCCTCTCAAATCCCTATGACCATCATCGTGACTTCGTTTGTCAGTTAGAGACCAAACTGCTGTACCATCTTCGCCACCGTCACATGCTGTCACCAAAGGTTAACTGTCCACAAACTGTTGTTCTATACAACAACCACATGAAGCCCATTCGACCTCACACACACTGCTATAAGAACAGCTCCATTCCAACCATAATAATAATCAATAATTAATTGGTAGATAACTTGAAGTTCACTTCGCGCAACTTTTCCTTTTTGTACAGTATTTTTGTTAAGCTTTCGTTAAGTTACTCAGCAGAGCAGGCGCTCAGTGATGTATAAGCCGAAGTAATATTTCTTGAGTATTATTATACAGTAGATGCACCATTCCCGCTCTAGCCCATTTCCTTGAAGGACCTTGGTTAATAAGTTAGTTTACTTTTTAACTCCGTTATAAAGACTTAAGAGTCGTGAATTATATTGTCTTCAAAAGCTGTACCCAAATACTGTATTTGTAACGTTTTACCCTTCCAAGCATTTCACTATTCAGTTGCAACGAATATGAATAACAGCTGTGACCAACATCTTCCTAACAAATGATGTTGGCAACTATTGGTACATTGTAAATCCTTTTTATAAAATGTTGGGTTCAGCACCAACCCCTGAGACGTACTGTACATAACTCCTTGTCCATCCTACCAGAAGTTAACCCCTGGTAGAATATTCCGGCTCTCTTGTTTGTGGTACAAATTTTAATTAAACCAAGAAGGCTGCCCTGAACCCTAACTCTGGTCAATCTAAGACAATTTAATATACCCTGAGCCATATCAAGTTACTAAAAGGGTGAACAGTGCTTCTTTCCTGGATGAATTGATTTAATGTTGGAGGAACTTCTCTTTCATACAAGAATTCGTACTGTTCTTTCAAACGTCTTGCCAAGGCAAGACGTTTTTAGTATTGTTCTGAAATGTTTTAAATAGTTACTTTGAAATATAGAAAGAAAAATCACCATTTTTCAAGCTCCCTGAAAGACATAACTCATGTTGACAAGAATGTGCAACAACTTACTTTCGCCTTAACATGCATATTAGTGTGACTGTAAGATAACACTTTAGAATTAAATTTCCACAGGGAACTTGTATTTGAAATTAAGTCATAGCTTACATAAGGAACATGTTTTTCAGAGTACAAATTTCTCATTAACACACTTATGTGATAATATAAAGTTTGTGTGTCTTGAGTTTCAATATACTGTACTTCTTATATACAATTTCACTACGAATTTCAAGAGAGTGGTTTATTTTCAATTTGAGGTAAAATTAGACTTTGTGTGAACAGATATGGAGCACATGAGGAGGCCCAGACGTCCCGTCGACCTCAACGTCATGAAGAGGAATATGACCATCGCCAAGGGCTTCCTAGACATCAGTCTCCTCTCAGCCAACGCCAACCAGCTTCGCAACGTCCTCAACTTCGGCGATACTGACAGCTCCACCTTTTACGTGGTGGCGATCGGCATCGTGGTTAGTCTTATACTCCAGGTGAGAGAAAGGGATTGATAAAGGGCTGGTATCAGAGGGCTGGTCGTGCAGAGGGCTGGTATAAGAGGTGCTGGTTGTGTAGAGGACTGGTATCAGAGGTGCTGGTCGTGCAAAGGGCTAGTATCAGAGGTGCTGGTCGTGCAGAGGGCTGGTATCAGAGGTGCTGATCGTGCAAAGGGCTGGTATCAGAGGTGCTGGTCGTACAGAGGGCAGGTAGCAAAAGTGCTAGTCGTACAGGAGGTGCTGGTCGTACAGAGGGCTGGTGGTAGAAGGGGCTGGTGAGGGAGTTTTGGTACTAGAGAGAGCTAACTGGAGGAGGGTGGTGAAGAATTTGAAGTGGAGAGGGATGGTAATGGAGATGTCTTGTTTTAGGGAACGGTGGTGGAGATAGTGGGCGGTGGAGACGGGTGGTGATGGAGATAGTGGGCGGTGGAGACGGGTGGCGGTAGAGATAGTGGGCGGTGGAGAGGGGAGGTGGTAGAGATAGTTGGCGGTGGAGACGGGTGGTGGTACAGATAGTTGGCGGCGGAAAGGGGTGATATTAGAGAGGTAGAAGCTGTGGTGGTTTAAAATTTTAGGAAATTCCGAAGGCTCAAATGAAGGATGGGCATCCTGTTTTCATATCTCCCGGCCCATGGTATACACACACACACACACACACACATGCAGGCACACACACACGTACACACAAACCAAAAATGGAAAATCTTTCGGGAATCTAAATTTCTCAGCGAATAGTAACACCGACAGCGTGATGAATATTCTTAATAGTCGTCAAACGTTTCGGATATCCACTTATCACTTCTCTCTACTAAAGATAAAAATAACGCATTACAAAAAACAATGTGTCGGTGGTTGTACGCACTACAGTATAGTAATTAAGACATACACAGTGAAAAAAAAACTATGATTACGGTATTATGCTTATATAAAAGAAGTATAGAATGAAAAATGACAAAACGTGTAATATATGACGAGAACGATAACAACAGAATTTATAGTGAAAAGAATAATGTAAAATTATAAACCGGTCTACATTTTAAGAAAAATTGAATGATGTTTTAAAACTGAGACGTGATTCTGATTCGTTTTTCATCACGGATTTCAAAAATAAACTTTGTTTTGCTCTATCACGTCACACTTTATTACCAATATGACAAGATATTATAACTTATACATATAAAATACAACATACAAATATGACAAGATAAAACAAATAAAACAATTCGGTAGGCTTCACATTTAACTAAACCTAAAGATTATTGTGATTAAGGCTATTTGTCTGCAAATACAGAAATAAATGATACACAGTATATGAATATTTATGAAAATAATATTAGGCTTCTAGGATGGGTGAAACTTTCTTTTTTTTCGATTTTCTGGCAATCTTTTCACTGGCACAATCTCTCTTCAGCATCCAGCAGTAGTCCGCCATCATGTTCACATTCTACCTTCCTTGATACCTCTTTTCCATTTCTTTGATGTCCTGGTGAAATCTTTCACCTTGCTCTTCACTTAAACTACCTAAATTTTCAGGAAAATACTCAAGATGGGAATGTAAGAAATGCAATTTTGCACTCATATTGCAACCCATGTTTTTAAAGTTATTCAACATACTTTCAACAATGTTTTGATAGTTGAGATCTTTTCTATTGCCTAAAAAACTATACACAACATTCTTAAAACTATTCCATGATTCTTTCTCACGCTGGTTCATCGATTTTTCAAATTGGTGGTCCAACATTAACTTTCCGATTTGAGGGCCCACGAAAATGCCAGCTTTGATTTTTTCATATGTGACTGGTGGAAATTCCCTGGATATATATGTAAAGGAAACAATCACTTTCCTTATCTTGGGTTTTTACAAATTGTTTCATTAACCCTAATTTAGCACGCAGAGGAGGCAACAGCACTTTCTTTGGGTCAATCAATGGTCATGTAAATATTTTTTTAACCTGGCACAAGAGCCTGTCTAGGTGGCCAGTGTTTTTTGTCCCAATGTTCACGTCTTGCTCTGCTGTCCCAGTCGCACAAAAAACATGGCCTTTTCGTGTATCCACTCTGTTGACCAAGCAACAAAGCATTGACTTTGAAATCTCCACAAACCAACCAACCATTATCTTTACAATGAACTTTCTCTTGAAGTATCTGCAAATTTCCATAAGTTTTCTAAAGATGAACAGAGTGAGCCACAGGAATTGATGAAAATACATTTCCATTATGAAGTAAAACTCCTTTGCGACTTGTTTTTGAAATATCAATGAATAAACACCATTCAGTAACTGTATAGGTATTGCCAAAATAGTTAATTAAAGCAAACACATTATTACAATAAACCAAGAAGCCTTCCTCTGAAGAAAAAAATGAACTAGTTCTTGTTCACGTTGCCTAAACCATGAAAAATGTGTCCCATTGCTCAATAAATTCTTTGATTTCAACCTTGATCCTAAAAGTTCAGCAGACTCCTTTGGTAAATTCAAATCCCTAACCAGATTGTTAAGTTCACTCTGGGTAAACACCTCCGGTACATCACAAATATCTTCAGGTTAATAAACATCACTTCCGTTATCTGACGATGAATCACGGTCAGATTCTGATGACACGGACTGCAACACATCTGGAGGAGGACTGGAACCTCAGGACCATGTGGCACTGGTTTATTTTTTTGCATTATATCCCCCTATCTTCACAGAGCAAAAATAACAGTCATCACCATGATTTTTAGGCTCCCGCCATACCATAGGAACTCCAACTGGCATAACTTTTTTCTTACCATATTCCCACAGTCTTATTACCTTCAACACAAGTGCGACATACTTTATGTGGCGCCCATGGTTATCTAAATCGTCTATTTTCACTCCAAAATAGACAAAACATGCATATTTCACGAATGCGGTTACTTCCTGTCGTTGCTTATGCACAACAAAGCACCCACATATGTAGTAGAATACGTTTGGATTGTTCAAACATCCACGAGAAGACATGTATACAAAAGGAATGGCAGTATAGCAAAACAAGGAGATTTAACATTACAGCTACTGAGGCGACACTGAACAGTGGCCTTTGCCTCAAGGATTCCATTTGTCAATAAACCTTCCGTGATTGACGAAAACTGAAGATATATCGGGAATCAATATTAAAAACAGGATAGGGAGCACATATTAGTTTGAAAACATCAAGATTCATGCAGACCGGTGAATCAGGCCAATGCCATTAGAAACTGCCAATAAAAACAATGTTTTATCAAACAGCAGTTATAGAGCTAAGATTATAAACTATGAATATACCTATAAAAATGCCAGAAGTACAGGGAAAATTAATATACAAAAGATAAGGAGTTAAAACCACACCTTCACCAGAACCACAGCCCAAATTTAGACCTGTGAGTAAGATCTATTAACCAGCAGCTACACATCCAGGCCAGTGTTGAGTCTGACAAAATATAAAATGATCCGAGCAAAGAACTACAAAAATTCCCATCAGACAATGACAATAATCATAGATGGTTCCCAAAAAGGAACCGAAACTCATTGAGTCCATTATCACCCCCGATATTTACGGTCAGGCAACAGTCAATCTCCCTAGACCAGTACCATGAAAAATGGCATTCAAAACACGCACAAATGTGTTAGGGTAGGCTTCCTAGCGCCAAAGTCGCCAAAGCCAACACTCGGACAGCCAATCAGAAAACCAGCTCTAAATAATCAACCACAATAACTAGCCTAAGACATAACATTAACACACTATTAGCTTACCTAGTCGGGAACAAGGCAGTTATCTTGCCATCTACTACCTCCTCCTAAATTTCTTCAATTTCCGAACTATTAAACTCTTTCCTCCCTTCTCCAATATTATTTCACTCCTTTATTTAAAAAAAAATAAAAATAAAAAATATAATTCCTGACCGCCGAGGGTTGCCCACCTCACAGGGTACCACAGGCCTACAGCCCTGACAAGTGCCCAGATAGAGCTTCCGTGTATTTCACATCTTCAGGGGTGAGTACAGACTAAGGAGTAATATTTGACAAGGCTAATATATACAGTAGAGGAGAGTAAGATCAAGTCCCTAGGGGACAGCTGGGGCCCAGGGGTGTCACCCCTGAAGATGCGAATCACACGAAAGCGCTTGGGAACTTCGTGTTTTCTTGTTTCCTTATGGTTATCAGTATATATATATATATATATATATATATATATATATATATATATATGGTGATTCAGCAAAGAGTACGTTAAATTAGAGGATGAAACCCCTTAATTCTAAACCACAATGTCTCTATGGTAAAATGTCAGACTGCATAGTTTCCACGTTACAATACATTTAAGATGTCCTATTAATGAGAGTGAATTTGATGTATAACCCCCATAGATTTTTGTAATAATTTATTCACAGATGTCTTATGTACAGCAGTACAGCGTGGTACGGATGGCTGACACAGGTGCAATGAGACAGGGACCGTGTACGACCGAATGAGATAAAGGCAGTTACAGGGGGGACGGAGTTTCACTTCAAATTCACTCTTATTAATACAACATTTAAAATGTATTGTAACATGGAAACTATGCAGTCTGACATTTAACCATAGAGACATTGTGGTTTAGAATTGAAGGATTTCATCCTCCAATTTAATGTACTCTTTGCTGAATCACCCTGTATATTAAGCTCTGCATGACATATATAATTAAAAAAAATTGGTGTAGGTTCTGGCTGGCATCATCCTGATCGTGGGTGAGAGATTCGACCTCAACGACAAGGACCACGACGACTGGAGCGACCGCCTCAACACGATCGTCATGTGTATCATCTTCGTGGTGCTGCTGGTGAACGTCTTCATCTCCAGCTTCGGCGTGGATGTGGCCAACCCGGGTATGCACAAAACCCCGCCCGCTATCATGAGCACTTCGCGTATTGTTTCCCTCACCTCCCCTTGAGCTCCCCCTGGTGTGTCAATATCCCATTCATCTCTGCTTCAAAATCTCTGTTATCTTGATGTCACTGAATCATGATGTGTGTAACAAGAATTCCATCATACCATTTACTGTAGGTGTGCTCTTTATATATTGTGTTATCCAAACACTGTACTGTACAAAAGTATCATGGCAAAATATTGTGATCTCAACCTTGTTAGCGACACATGTGACGCAGATATTCTACCATACAAAAATACCTGTATGTTATTCATATATGTGTGTGATTGATCTGGACTGTCCGCTAATTTTTGGTGCATTTTCCTTGAATCTGGAAAAAATATTGTGGCACTAAGTAACTACACTTTAGTTTAAAATAAATTATATTTCTAAGGTTAGAAATTTTTGCAACAGGTGTGCAGTGCACAAACCTGTACCTCGTAATAAGAACAGAAGTACACGAGAATGGAGGAAACTGCAGCGGGCCTATTGGCCCGTACTGGGCAGTCCCATTTACACCCAACCCCTTTCGCTTATACAGGGTGATTCAGCAGAGTACATTAAATTGGAGGATGAAATCCTTCAATTCTAAACCACAATGTCTCTATGGTTAAATGTCGGACTGCATAGTTTCCATGTTACAATACATTTTAGATGTTGTATTAATGAGAGTGAATTTGAAGTGAAACTCCGTCCCCCCTGTAACTGCCTTTATCTCATTCGGTCGTACACGGTCCCTGTCTCATTGCACCTGTGTCAGCCATCCGTACCACGCTGTACTGCTGTACATAAGACATCTGTGAATAAATTATTAAAAAAATCTATGGGGGGTTTTACATCAAATTCACTCTCATTAATAGGACATCTTAAATGTATTGTAACGTGGAAACTATGCAGTCTGACATTTTACCATAGAGACATTGTGGTTTAGAATTAAAGGATTTCACCCTCCAATTTAATGTACTCTTTGCTGAATCACCCTGTATAGCTATCCAACCTATGTTTGAAGCTATCCAGCGTATTCGAGTTAATGATGATGTTTGGTAACTTGTTCCACCCATCCACTACTCTATTTCAAAACCAATGTTTACCTATCTCGCGCCTAAATCTAAATTTGTCTAATTTAAAACCATTGCTACGGGTTCGCTCCTGGTTGGATAGCTTGACTGCTTTTGTTATATCCCATTTGTTTAGCCCTGACTTCCATTTATACACCTCTATCATATCGCCCCCCACTCTACGTACCTCGTGGGAGTGCAAATTAAGATGCTTTAATCTTCTCTCTGTACTCAAGGTTCCTAATGCCCGGGATCAGTCTTGTCATTCTCCTCTGAATTCCTTTTAAGGATTATATATCCATTCTGTATTACAGTGACAGAACTGAACAGCTGAATTACAATTTTAAATTGTTATGCATGTGTGAATGTGTGTTGTGTGTTTAACACCCAGGATGCATGTGTGATGGTAGGTGTGATGTCATTCAGTAGCTGTAAGATTCCTGTGACAAAGTTTGTCACACTGATTTGCACCTAAAGACTACTTTCATCTATAAGTATGGTTAAAGATCAGGCCTTTAAGTTATAATAACATACACTAATAAACATAGTCATTTAATATCATAACTGACGTCGACTAACTCTGCCTCTTCAGGTGACTGATGCACTGTACTGTACATGTTTCTGGCGAGAACTCTCTCTCTCTCTCTCTCTCTCTCTATATATATATATATTGTTACGAGTTGGGGATTTAGAAACTGGTTTAGAATATAGTTAAAAGTCTACCCAGATCCCAACAGGCAACAACAATAAAAAAACTAAACAAACAAAGACAATCGGACTATAAAAGGGTAGACAAAGGATGCGAGTTTTTGTTGTGTATAATAAAGTACAATAAATTCCTTAACAAAATATCCAGCTTTCTATAATTTACCCTTAACCATACTTAACTTAAACATACGCAACATTGGCTTAACAGTATATACATATTTATACAACATACAACAATCTGAAGCAAGTGGAGGTGGGAGGTAATATAGGGTTACAATACTCAAGTGAGGTGCTGAAGTGCCTGATGAGTAGGGCTGAGTATTGAAGAAGATGGTAGGTAGTCACGCTGCAGTAGGTTTCCAGGATAGGTAATCTAAGTGTGGTCACTTCCCAGAGTGAACTGAACTCTCCTCGATCCGGAGCTGATGAGGAAGAGTTGGAGGAGGTGACGCAACAACCAGGATATGAAGAAAGGAAACCCGGAGTGGTGACTAAGACTAGTCATACTCGGGTCGCGTCCCTAGATGGCGTTGCTCGGTAGTGCTGGGTAGTTAGATCATGACACAATAGATGGCGTGGTTCGTAATACACCCCCCCCAAAGACCTCCGTAGCGCGGGCGTGAAGGAGGTGATCACCTGGTGCGTCTGGAGAGTAGCTGCTGCATTTCCACTGGAGCTCGGGATAAGGAGTCCGCAATCAGGTTGTCCACCCCTTTTATGTGCCGGACTTGTAGATTATAGGGCTGGGTGAGGAGAGCCCAGAGGAGGATTCGCTGGTTGGAGGTCTTGTTGGTTTGGATGAACGTGAGCGGGTTATGGTCGGTGAAGACTAGGGTGGTTTGTGGGCGAGATTGGAGGTAGCATTCAAACTTCTTTATTGCCAACACCAGAGCCAGGGCCTCCTTCTCTATGGTCGAGTATTTGGTCTGATGTTTTTTCAACTTGGGGGAGTAGTATGCCACAGGGTGAAGGACATCAGTGGTTGGGTAGGGTTGTAGGAGCACAGCCCCCACTCAGACACCGCTAGCGTCGATTTGCAGATGGAAAGGCAAGGTGTAGTCAGGTGGGTGGACTACAGGCTTGGAGGCAAGGAAGGCTTTGAGGCGGTGGAAAGACTGGTTGCACCTCTGGTTCCAGAACTGGTAAGGTCTGTGAGGAGTCCGGCCACGCTGGAGAAGTTACTGCAGAACCGACGGTAGTAGCCGCACATCCCCAGGAAGCGCACGAGTTCCTTCCTCGTCCTTGGAGTGGGGAAGGACAAGATGGCTTTAACGTTTGCGTCCCTGGGTCTCACCATACCATGCCCAACGATATGTCCCAGGTAAGTCACTGAGGCCCGGCCAAAAGCAGATTTAGCCAGGTGTATGGTGAATCCAGTCTCTTGCAGTCGTGAGAACAATATCTCCAAACGCACCAGATGTTCGTCCCAGCCGTCCGACACCACCACCAGGTCATCCAGGTAGGCGAACGTCCCATCTAGGTCCTGAATCAGGTAATTGATTGCCCTCTGGAATGTGGCCGGAGCATTAGAAAAGCCAAACGCCATAACCAAATATTGAAAAAGATCAAATGGAGTTATAAATGCCGAGATTATTTTTGCCCTATCCGTGAGTCCCACTTGATAATATCCTTTCATCAAGTCCACCGTTGTAATGGATTTTGCACAGCCTATGCTGTCTATTATATCTTCAATCAAAGGTAAAGGAGTCTGAGACAGTTACCTGGTTCACTTACGATAATCGGTACAGAAACGAAAACTGCTATCGGGTTTTGGAATGAGAAGGCAAGGTGAAGCCCAAGGGGAGGTACTAGGCTCAGCTAAGTTATGTTTTAACAAAAAATCTACCTCCTTTTTCATAATCTCTCTTTTTTGTGGATTTAGCCGATATGCTGATTGCCTAATGGGTTGTACATCATCTGAGATTAGCTTAATATCATGTTTAAGTATATTGCAAAACCCTGGGAGGTCTGACGTGACTTTAGGAAATGTTGATAACTTAGTGAGATCTTTTGCTTGAGATGGATTCAAAACAGAAAAATACTCATCCAAGTTGTTGAGTATGTGACTATTAGCAGGGTTTTCTTTAGGTAGAGGGAAGTCTAAATTCTCCAATAGGTCCATGTCATCTGTCTCCGGCTCCGGCCCTAACAAAGCCGTATGCAATATAGGTAGGCTTATAGCCTCTGGGATGTCTCCCTCTGACTGCCTGGAATGGTAAAGTTTCATGAGATTAATGTGAACAAGTTGTGAATCTTTTCTGCGATCAGGAGTATAGACTATATAGTTGAGGGGAGATAGTTTATTAGCATTGATTTGAAAGTTTTGGTGGAACCGTTCCAAGCAACCTTGGGATTGTAGGTGGTAAGCCGAAGATGTACAATGGTCCACACTGAGGTCTTTCATCACCTGTTTGAAAAAAGATGGATCAGATTGTTGGGCTTTAATGAGCTCATCCTTACTAATGGTCTTATTGTACAGATCTTCTGTGGGTAGGAAGATATTGGAGGTGGTTTTAGATGAAGAGGGCCCATTTAGCACACTCTATGACCGGGTGACAGCACAAGATGGGAAAAAGTGAGGAATAGTTTCTTCAAGGTCAGTGGTGGAGTTGACAGGTAAGGGAGAGTCGACTGTCTTTATGTTGGGAACCACTAGATCTCCTACCAAGTCATTACCCAATAATAAATGAATGCGGCTCACAGGCATTGGATCTTTCCTAACGGCTACTTGCACTTCCCCAGTAATCAAGGGACATTGGAGGTGCACTTTAGCTGAGGGATAGGAAGAATGGGATGAGAGATCTGAAATTAGAACACTCATTAGTAAATGCTGTAGATATATCAGGAATGACGCTAAACATGAGGATAGATTGTGCTGCGCCCGTATCACGTAGTATACGAATAGGGAAAGAACGAGACCCCTCTATGATTGAAATTTTTCCCTCATAGGTGAATGAAGAGAAGAGATCCTGATGGGGCCTTTCCACATTGGTGGTTGCTATTGGTTTGAATTTGGAATCCAGGGAACTACTTTTAGAAGTTCGACACTTTGGGTGTTTGCAAGACTGGATCGTATGGCCTGGTTTTTTTACAGTAAGAACAATAAAACTTGGTTGCATCAGGGGAGGTAGGTGTGGGACCTTTCGACCTACCACTCACGTCCCCAAGGTTATCATCAGAGGAGGACCTAACATGCTGGAAAGTACCACGTTCCCCACTGCCCAGTGACTCCACCAACAAGGCGTATGCATCAGCCACCTCAGCCGCACGCCTTAAATTAACCTCTCCACGCTCCTCCACATGCTTCAAGATGTGAAATGGTATCTTGCTCTTCCACTCCTCCAGGACTACCAAGTTTAACAAATCCTGAAATGTGGAGGTCTCTGTAGCCTCTAACCACTTCTTGAAAAACCTAAGCTTTTCTTGAGCAAACTCAACAAAGGTGTGTGAAAATGTTTTGGTTAGTTTACGAAACTTCTGCCGATATCTATCTGGCGTGATAGCAAAGAGGTGAGGATATTCTTTTTTGCGTTATCATAGTCATCAGTCTGGTCTAAACAGTTATAAACTCTACGAGCCTTACCACATAATTTAGGAACTAGCACCGACACCCACTGGTCCTTAGGCCACTCATTCTTCCCGGCTATTTTCTCAAAAGACCTAAATGACCCGTTCATATCGGATTCATCAAACTCGGGAACAAGGGAAGAAGCATTAGCAGGGTTAAAAGCAGCTAGTCTCTCTTTTAATGCCACTACTTTTGATTTAAACTCCGATGTTAAGGTGACTTCTGTCTCTTTCACCTGTAGTTCTT